GACCAAACAGAACAGGAGAACCAATCCACCCCACTGTGGCTGACAATCACTGTAACTCTGTCATGCCAACGGTACCATACCTCTCATAGCCTGGGTGCCTTAATATGGGGTGAATATCAACATGGGGTCATCAGATAGCACTCCTGCTTTTGGGTGATGGGGGCAGAGGCTGCCTCTTCCTATGCTGTTGGGTTAAAGCAGAAGCCCTGGCAACAGTATGCAACAATCCGAGTCGCATTCATAGTTGCATTTTATGTTTCCCCTTTACCTTATTTTACTTTGATTTATTTTATTTTTTCTTACTGCTTATTTTTATTTATCCATTTTAGTTTTACTGTGGGTTTTTATATTGTGACTGGCTAAACATGTTATGAATGGAATTGTATTGTTTTAATTGTCATTACTATGTTGTGGTTGAAGGGATGTGTTGGTGCAGTGGGTTAAACCGCTGAGCCGCTGGGCTGGTTGATTGAAAGATCGACAGTTCAAATCCGCAGACGGGGTGGGCTCCCGTGCTCCGTCCCAGCTCCTGCCAACGTTGCAGTTTGAAAGCATGCGAACACAAGTAGATAAAAAGGTACCACTTTGGTGGGAAGGTAACAGCATTCCGTGCACCTCGGTGTTTAGTCATGCCGGCCACACGACCACAGAGACTGTCTGCAGACAAACGCTGGCTCCCTCGGCTAGGAAACGGAGATGAGCACCAACCCCTAGAGTCAGGCATGACTGGACTTCACGTCAAGGGGAAACCTTTACCTTTACCTTACTATGTTGTGAACTGCCCAGACAGCCTTGTGGCTAATGGGGCAGCATACAGGTCAAATAAATAAACTGTAATTGCACCACTATCCCTTGCTACACTCTTGCACAAATTTGGAAATATAGGCACAGTATACACCCAGGTACCCTTTTCAGGCCTGCTCCCAGAGCTTCTGCCTGCAGCTAGCACTACCTTCAGCATGGGATGGCAGGGAGCAGTTTGGGCTGAAGCCATGGGCATACCCAGCCTTGCATAAGCTGAATGCATGGCAGGCTCCTGTCCGTGCTCCCACATGCCCTGCTACAAGTGGCCAGGGAAGAGCTGATTTTGGCTAAGAATCATAGGTTGTAAGGGATCTTGAAGTTCATCTCGTCCGATGCCCTGCTCAGTGCAGGATCTGCAATATGGGATGCAACAACAGCATCCCTGCCCTGATGGAAAGCAGCCCAGCTTCTGCTTAAATCCCTCCAGCAAAGGAGAGCTCTTCACCTCCCAAGGCAGTCTGTTCCATGGCTGAACTAGCTCTCACTGACTGGCTTCAGATAGCACAATAAACCATGCTCAAGGGTTCAGCAGGACTTGTTGCTAAAACATGGGTTGTCATGTTGTCTGAATCCAGCTGAGGTATCAAACCATGGCGAACAACCCAGCAACAAACCATGGGTTTACTTCATGGGTTGCCTGGTTAACAAGCCCTAGCTTGTTAGCAAAGCTGGGTTCAGATAACATTATAATGCACATCTTGACAACAACCTGTGTTCAACAGCAACACTTGTGTGTGGGTTATTGTGCTGCCTGCACCTGGTCACTTCACTGTTAGGAATTTATCTCAACGTTTAGCCCAAATCTGAGTCCTTGCAAATTCCATGGTTCTAGTCCTGCCCTCAGCAACAACAGAGAAGTCCATGCTCTCTATCTTCAGCATCACGCAATGCTTCTGATGTTTGAGGACCACTGTCATGTCTCCCCTTAAACTTGGGAAAATGCCCTGCATGAGTTGTGCTAGGCTCTAATTGTTGACACTGGTGGAGCAACTCAGGTAAAGGTAAGTACCCTTGATTTACGAATCTGACAGCACAGGAGGCAGCAAGCGATTTCTCTCTCTCCAAATCCAACTGCTGTGCATTTGACGCTATGGCTCAGGGAATTAAGAGGGGCCCAACCAAAATATTATTGTGCCTCATCCAGAAGTACAAAGGATGCATTAACACTGCTACACAAAGAAAGCTACAGGGGATATAAGATACCCTCAAGAAAGCTAACTATAAACACAAAGGGGCTAACACCAAGTTGTTGAAAAACAGATCCAGTCACAAAAATCTGGACAGCAGAAAGATTTATAAAAGAAACAACTTTATTTCAGTTTTCCTGGACATTTGATGAGAAAAATATTAACTTTTTTTTCATAAATGCCTATACTTCCCCCAATTTCTCAAAAATGGATTTAGCATTATACAGTTGCTGAAAATCGAAGGTGTTGGATCAGTATGTACAAGTTTTCTAAATGTTAGGCTAGGCGAATATTAACTAAGGACTAGGAAACTCTATTTTAATTGTGCAGTTACCAAATCACTTTTTAACTGAAGCAAATAATGGGTAAAAAAAATCCAGCAAGTGCAAAACCCACTAACACAACCCCATTTCTGGTTTGCATCAGCTACACAAGGATAAGAGCCTCCCAGGACCAACCAGCCATGATTGATTTTGGTTTTATTCTTTAATCTGCTTTATCTTTATTACCATTCCAGCATCCCTGTGCCAGAATATGGAGCAGTATATACATCTTAATAAATATATAAGATGCTGAAGTTCACAGCTGCCAGCGTAATGGGGGAGTGCTGTCCAACAAGGAAACTAATGCAAAGCTGTACATCTATGGCCGTAACGCAGCCTCTATCAACCGAGTGCTTTTGCTGTCCCCACCTGCTCCTTTGTACCAAGCAGCAAGCAAGCAGAGCAGCAAATGCATGCCCCCACCCCACAGCACAATGAGTCCCTTAACCAATGCCCGGCCCTGGGGGGGATCCCTTATCCTACCTCCCACAGGCTCTGGGCTACACCGGTTCCCCTGAAGGAGCAGCAGCAGCAGATGGCTAAGAGATACCATGACATCACACTCTGCTCCATCCCAGAAGGGGGGCAGTGGGAGGAAACAAGTGGCCTCTTTACAAATTTGGCTTCCCAAGGGTGTGACCTTTGTTCCCTTCCCTGCTAATTACTATTTCTTTCATCAATTTCCCCCTCACTGGCTTGACAACATGACCCAAATATAGCCCCCGTTTCATTCTAATTGACCTAGCTCCCTTCAAACAGGACTGCAGGGTCCTCCACCCCCTCAAAGTGCTACCACAGTTGTCCCCAGCCCAGCACACTCCAGCTGTACTGGGTTACAATTCCCATAGCTGGCTGGGATTGTGGGAGCTGCAGCTGAACACACCTGAAGGGCTCCAGGCTGGAAAAGGCTGTCCTTCCATCTCGCTGCATTTCTTAGCCATGAAGCCCCCTTCCTCTCTTATGCCATCTTGTGTCACCCAGGATTCTTCCATGAAACCATCCTCTACTTTGCGATCTCACCCAAAGCAAACACTACTAGCAATCAATATAATGTCTCCCTTGCGCACACATTTTCAAGATTCTGAGCAATAACGGGGTTTCCTGGGCACTCCCTAAGATCCTCATTCATGAGTGGCACGGGGAAGATATACTCATCCCTGTAAAATGGACCCCACTGACACTGAGCTCAGAAGCATCCTTTGCCCAAACCAGCACAGGGCTTCCTCTACTTTCTCTTACTAGAACAAGGATCCAGGATGGAATAATGCAGGGATGTCTTATCTGCCAAACAAACAAAAAATCACCGAATAGGCTAAGGATACTACATAATAGCAACAAAACAACACCAGTGTTAAAAGAACAGTGTGGGTACACTGCAAGCCCCGTCCAAATGGTTAAGGGGAAACTCTTAAATCCATCACACACACAGCAACGGGAGGATCTAACGTGGGAATCCAGAGGAATTGCTTTTGCGCCTGAGAATGATATGGGTTTAGACTACAGGAAGAACGACTCCTCTCTAGCACCTTTCCCTGCTCTGGTGTTCTCCTGAAGTGTTGGACTACACATGCTGGCTGAGGATGGTGGGAACTGTAATCCAGCACCTCTGGAGAGTATCAGGTTGGTCACAGCTGCTCTACAGATACACTATGCTATTGTTTTAACAGTGAGGCTCTCTTAAGCACATTCTGTGGAGGAAGCACTTCCACCCACACTGCTAAAAGTGCTGCTAAAATTTAGAGCAGTGGTTGGTCACCTGTAGAGGAGTTTTTAAACTAACACAACCATGGCATCTTATTCTCACAGCAAATTGTGGCTGTAAAAAAAATAGGGGGGCAGCAATAGAGTCAGAGGGCCATAAGCGCCCATGTTCAGAAATGAGCTTTTCAAAGGATTGTGTGACAGGGGTTGATGAATTAGGTTGCACATTTTCGAGGGTCAGAGAGGCCGGTCAGAACAGGAAAGGATTCCAGCTTGCTTGTCGCTTGCTCAAGATACCCTTTTATTAGCTTCAGCTTCCCAAGGGACATGGTATGAGCTCTATGCCTGAACAATTTGCAAGCAGCCTGCCTATCCTAAAAGGTGGGGGTGGGGTGGGGGTGGAGATGAGGTGGTGGGGAGAGATGCACTGTGAGGATTAATTTTGCTCCGCTGAAGGGGGGTGGGGTACCAAAAGCTAATTGAATTATAGCAGTGCGCGACCTAGGAAGATTCATTTGCATTTCAACATAAATCCTGGCGGCGACGTCTTGCCCCGAGGCTCCAGCAGCAGGTAGCAAAGATCCAAGAGCAAAGGCGAAACACAGGGATGTGGGGGAGTTGTGGGGCTCGCGGTGGGACACTTATACGGAGCGGTCCGAAGAAAGAAAGCGAGGATCCGACCGGGTTAGTGCGCACCTACACATACACACACGTACCCCCCCCCCAACCCCGAGCCGACGTGCTGCGGTGTTCGCTGTTTCCATGGCGATCAGGAGAGTACGCAATTTAATTTTCCAAACCCCATTTCCAAGGGGTTCTTGACCAACAAGTCACCACGGGGAGGGGACGGTACGGGACCTCCCGGAATCCAGGACCGGGTCGTCCGGGCTCCTTGTCGGCGCCTCCCCTGCAAGGCAAAAGCGCCGGAGGCGGGGAGGCTCGGTCGGGGCAACATCCCACCACCCGCGGCCAAACAAACACTCACCTCTGGGGGCGCGCAAGAGGAGAGCGGCGACGGCCAGCAGGAGCCTGGGGGCGGCGCGGCGCGAGTCCATCGTGCTCCCGGACCCGTCCCGCTCCGCGCTCGGCTCAGATGCCCACGCCCGGCGCGGCGGGGCGCATGTCCGCACCAGCCTGCAGCGAGCGCGGGACTCGCGGTGTGGGCGAGAGGCGAGCGATCAGCGCTGCCGGCCGTGCACGTCCGCCGGCGCGCAGCCCGAGCCGCGCATCCCTGCTCGGGCCGCCGCCGCCGCCGCCGCTGCCGGGCTGCTCAGACAATAGAGATAGGCAGGCAGGGGGAGGGGACGGGAACACATGCGATCCGCGCCCGCCCGCCCGCCCGCAGGGTCCTAGTGCGCTTCGGACCGCCCCAGACGACCCAGTGCCCTCCTGGCCACGCCAGCCCGGGGCAGGGCCGCTGGGAGAGGCATAAATTGTTTCAGGAACGAGGGAAGGCCGGGGGGTGCGCCTCAGAGGCGGGCAGGTAGGGGGCGAGAGACGGGCGGAGCGTGGCCCAGCGAATCCGGGAGGCGACGCCAGGAGAACGGGGAGAAAAGTGGAAGGGAGAAGACAGTGCAAGAAAGTAAACTATTGCAAAGCAGGGGGCGAAGGGACGAGCGCGCCAGGAAGTCTCCGATGGTTCTTCACGCGTATCTCGATTATCCCATTTAGAAGTGCTCGCAATTTCCTTTTTGTAATAATACCATACCAATTTTTCACCTTTCTTTATACAAAGAGAGAGCGAGAGCGAGCGAGCATTCAGCTGATTATCGGTGCCGGTTGCCGTCTCTTCGATATCCTGGAAGAATAAGAAAATAAAGGATATTATATTTTTTAAAAACATAAAAAGGGAGAGAGACACTAGTAAGATAATATTGATTACGATTTCTATCTGCTGCATTTCCAAACGTTAATAAGTCGAGGCCGGAAAAAGAGTTCTTGTAGGGATGGATTTCCAAACTTTGTTCTCCTCCACCTCCACCACTTTTTTTTCCTTTTCTTTGCTTGTAACATGGTGGGGAGATAGGAAATGGCTTGGCAAGGCAGGATGTGAGCTACAGAAAGGGACGGTGTTAATTAAGCCTGTGCTTCATTTCCTTGCTTACATAGGAATAAATTCAAAGGCAAGATGCAGATACTTTGTACGGAAGGATGGGATGCAAATGTTTGAAAGAAAGAAAGGGCCTAAGAAAGATCTATGGTTGGCTTCAGTCTGTCTCTCCCTTACAGCCATTTATGAAATAGCAATGGAAAATTTATGAAGACAATTCCCTGTTCACAGTATTTAGAAACATGTGTATTGGCTTTGTGTGCATGTATTCTCTGATCTTTAACTCATGGCTAAAAATCTAATAGTCTAACCCCACTGAAGTTAGGTGCATTTCTGCCCAACTAGTTAAATACTAATTTAAAAGGACAACTTTCAGCTCAAAAATTGTCATTTGAATTTTATTAATCAGCTGAACCCAAATACTCCGCTGAAAGTTTGAGCCAATTCCACGAAATTCCAGAGGATTCTGGGTGCTAATTAGCAATGGTAGCTCTAAATATTAAGTGAAGACAAAGATAGTTCATGGTTGCAACATATAGGGAGTTAATCTTACCATTGCTGTTTTTTGCACCACCTAAGGTCTATAGCATAGAAAACTTTAGACTTCTGAGATCTACTCTGGTTTTTACTGGAAACCAGAGATCCATCAGCTGGAACCTGGTATGAAAGACATAAGCTTAGAATCAAAGCTTTTGACCTCTAAAATTCATTTTTGATTATCAGAGCTCACAGTCCTTCCACACAAAAATTCTCTTCTGGTTAAGGCAAGCTTTCTTCATTTCTACAGCAGTTATTACAGGAGGGGAATAAGTCTGTTGCTGTTGTTCTAATTAAATTTGGGAGTCAGAAGTCCTTGCTAAGCTACACCTGTAGACCCACCTGTAGATGCAGGTCAGTGATGCCCTTGCCACAGCATTAAACATGAGCAGCATAACAACAGCTCATTTGATGATCAGGAATTGATCAGGCTAATGTTTTCCTCTTTCATTGTTCTATGGGCAACACTTCTTTAATGCCTTTTCTTTAGAATTGTGTCTGTTCTGAGCAGACGAGGGCATACCACACAGGAGATCATCTGCTGATGCTGGAGTGGGGAGCTTGTCGTATCCAAATGCTAGACTGCCACTTTCATCAGCTCTTTTGGTATGCCCAAGGGTCATGCATGATGACAGTCCAGCAATATCTGGTTCTGTACCCCTACACTAAGCTCTAAATTGCTGTTTCTGTGGTTTCTTCCTCCAGAGGGATTTATATACTTGTGGGAGACCAGTGACTTCTGTGTTAGCGGGGATCCATATCTATTGCAGCTACATTTCTTTTCAGCTTTATAGCAGCTATCTCTGGTGCTCCATGGTGATATACCTACTTTGGGCTTGGAGTTCTGCACCATGGATAGCCCTATAAAGTTCCAAATAAAAGCTGAGGTGGATAAGCAGCCCCACCGCATTCCAGCCTCCCCTACATACCTGAGGTTGTTACCCTCACTTGGCTTCCCAAATAGCATCCTAGTTTTTCTTTATGACTGGACCAATTCTGAGTGTCAGGGCTGTAAACAATACTTTCTGGATTTCTCTAATGATTATAATCAGCTCAAGGGCTCCCGAATGCCCATACAACAGCTTATGCGGCTGTGAGAGTAAGAAACAAAACAGATCTGTGTTAAAGAGTGGGAGTGAAAGGAGAAAAGAAAGATTTCTGTTTATCCAAGTTTTTTTCAGAGTGATACAACTGAAGCAGGGAAGTTGGCCTTTCCTTAGTCTGTACCATTTGCAGTGCCTTCGCTCCAGGTATGCTAGCTAACATCAGTACAGATGAAGCTGGCCAGCTGAGCATTACTGACAGCAGTATCAAGCAAAGATGAAAGATGGCTCGCTCCACCACAGCTGCTTGACAATTTCCTCAAAGCAAGGGACTGGTTGGGGTTGGGAGAAGATTCACCTTTGGCCTTTTCTTGCCCAGCCGGATTCTTATGTTTACAGCAGCCCGAAGTGTAGTTGGCTTTATTTTTGCTGGTGGGAAAAAACCCAACTATATAGCTGCAATCCTATGTACACTTCCCCGGAAATAATTCCCACTGAACTTAATGAGACTTATTCTGAATAGACATGCATAGGATTGTGCTGCAAATAGGAGAAACATTTGTAGTGCTAGACAGGGAGGGAGAATAGGTCTACCTCCAATGTTAATTGTCAACCAGGCCAATGTTTAACCCTTGTGCAGACACAATAGGAAGATGAAAACCCAAATTGCATCAGAAGGAGAATTCTACTGTGCAACTTCTATTATCCACAGGATGTCAGTTATAATGCTGATTCTCCCTTTGAAGTTACATGCAGACCTGTGGTTAAAAAAAAAACCACAGAATTTTTACAGAAAATACTGGTTCACTTGCACTTTATGAATTTGCCTCTTTTGCCTCTTTTCTACGTCCTTTTTTACAGGATGGCATTGAGGCAGAAACTGGCTTCCTTCTCCAAAGAGAAGTACTCTGTATATGTTCAGCAGCAGTGTGTCTTTGTGAGAGAAGACATCAGCTGTTCTTTTCCTCAAGACAAAAGCACTCAAAAGCTGTCATGTGACACCAACTGTCCAAGCTGTTTGATATTTTAACAACAGGAAACCTTATGATGCTGGGCGAGATAAGATATGTATAGATAGGTGATCAGAGAGACAAGACAAAGCCGGATGGAGTTTCAGGGACTTCAGGGTTTCTCAGCAGAGCGGCAGTGGGGCTGTGTCAGGGCCTGCCAGGAGCCCTGAGGTGCATTGTTTACCTCTGAAATTATCACCTCCAGCCCTTCACATCCAAAGGCCAAGTTCCAACTTGCTTCCTTCCAGACACTGAGCTCCCTCTCTTCGGGACAGAAGGCAGCTTGCAGTGGTGGCAGGGTGGCTGTTTGCGCTGTTGTAGTTTTGGGGTCTGCACAAGCCCTGGGTGTTGAGGAAGACTGGAGTAAATTAAGTTCACTAAGTGGGTTCACATGGAACTGGTCAGGGCACTAAGCCAGACAATGGGGGGTGAGCAGCTCTCCAAAATACTCGCTGAGGCCAAAGCGCACAGTGGCTGGGACCAAGTGAATGGAGGGGGAGGGGAGAAGCCACGGTGGCTGGTGTTCCTCACCCCCACGGCAGTGGGTTGCACATGGGCCCCTTTGCCTCCCTCCTCTTGCAGAGCATGGTTTCCTCTGTCAGCCAGACCTAGCACGAAGCACAGTGCGGGGGGCTGGGGGTGTTCAAATCCACCTCAGCACCCTACCCAAGCCATAGGCTGGGGGCGTGGGTTGAAGTCACACCCTTGAGATGACTGGGAAGTCACCTGTCAGAAGAGGAATTAGGCAAATAGTATGGCACACGACCAGCCTGCAGGGTGGGGGAGCCGCTGTGCCTTCTCCCCCCACCCACCGAGCCATGCAAGCCCTGTCATTATATGAAATACATACACAGTGCATGCTGCCGAAAACTAGCTGCTACAGGAGGGATGGATCAGGATTGCATCACGGAAGGCTCCCTTCTGTGACAGCTGGGAAAGGGCTTTTCGTCAGGACTGCGCTGTGGGGAAAAGCGTGACCCCCAGACGGGAGTCTAGGGGAGCAGAACCTCATGCCTGGGCCAGATTCAGCCCAAATAAACTTGACACAGCCACATGTCCACACACCTCCCGCTGACTGATGGCTGTTTCCCAACGTTTCATGTTCCCTGCTTCATTTTAACAGGTTAAAATACATTTCCTACAACCAAGCCACAGTCAGTAAGCTCTTGAAGCTAAAACATATTAGTATTTCGGATACTTCTGCCTCATACCTTGTGCCTTTGCACTTGCTCCATTTCACCATTATTCATCCCCACAAGCTTCTCTGAGATTAAATTCAGCCCTCTGGCTAAAAGAGGGTCAGCAAGACCCATGCCAACTGTAGTCCTCTCCCAGCAGCTAATTAAAATGAAGCAGATACATTAAATGTGATCATGCATTTAACATAATGTGCAGTTCATTCCACAGTTAGCATCAGCAGTTAGGCCCCTGTGTGAACATAACATCATTTTATAGCTTCATAAACATCCTT